AGCCCGCCGAAGATGGAAAAAGGCGGACTTGACAGTGGCTGCCACCTGGGTCTCCATCGTTAAGGCAGAGTCCAGGTGAACTCCCAAACTCCAAACCCCAGATGCAGGCACCAAAGGCACCCCATCAAAGGTCGGGAGAGGGAACCCCACCCCTGACCCGGTCCGACTCAGGCCCAGGACCTCCGTCTTCGCCGGGTTTAGTTTCAGTCGACTCAGTCGGAGCCAACCAGCCACAGCTTCAAGTGCCCGATACAGGTCATCGGGATTCGAGTCCGACTGGCCACCCAGCATCAGATAGAGCTGGGTGTCATCCGCATATTGATGACACCCCAGCCCATAACTCCGGATAATCTGGGCAAGGGGGCGCATATAGATGTTAAATAGCATCGGGGACAGCACAGCCCCCTGTGGCACTCCACATTCAATGAAGTACCTACGGGAGCGCTGATCCCGGAAAGCCACCCTTTGTCCCCAACCTTGGAGGAAAGAGGCAAACCATTGAAGGGCAAGCCCCCGAATCCCCACGTCGGCGAGGCGATGGGTCAGCAGCTGGTGGTCGACAGTGTCAAACGCCGCCGACAGATCTAACAACACCAGTGCTGCCACACCACCCCGATCCAGATGTCTCCGGAGATCGTCAGTCAGGGCGACCAAAGCCGTCTTGGTCCCGTGACCCGGGCGGAAGCCGGACTGGAAGGGATCTAAGCTTAGAAGGAACACTGCCTGTAACATATGTCAGCATAGAGAAGCAGCCTATTGGTCCAGAGGATAGGAAGATCATATGATGGCTGAGCAGAAACCAAGTGCAGTTCATTTTCTACTCACACACACAGAGTCAGCATGTGGGATGACTATGGTCTCTCCCACATTCTGGTAGTCTACATAAGATACGTCTTTGTGAATATGAAGGAAACCCAGGAGCATCTTTCAATGGTCAGCTACTTCCTTTCTCCCAATTCCAACAGAGGCGGATATGGAAATGGTTGGGCAAAGGAAAGTTCCTTTGTCACTTAAAGGCTCCAGGGGGCCTTCGTTTCAAAGGAGCCATGCCACATGGCTGCTATATAGCAGGAACAAAGGTATAAACAAGGCAGACAGGCCAATACTCTGACTCCACAGCCATGCATGTTTTTCTCCCATACCAAGATCATGCCAGTGTCAGAGGACTGAAAAGTGTGAAGCACCCTGAACTCTAGATAAAAGGTACATAGGGAAAGGCTGAGATGCTTACTATTCACTGTCCAAGGGCTCTTAAATTAGTGCATTTTCAAGCATCATCACCAATAAACTTGTAAAGGCAGAAAGACTGCACCAGAAAGTGATGAGAGGGAGGCTTGCCTTCACCCCCAAATATAGCAACGGAGGCTGTCTTTCATCTACCAGTGACTGGAGGCAGCTCTGCTATCCCTCCTATGGAGTGGGGTGGAGGGAAAAGGTTCAGAAAGCACCATTTTTTTCTACTTAGACAGCATGAAAGAACTATTCTGGAGCAATCTTATTTGCAAAGAGCAATTATTCTGGGCAGCCTTACAGACCACTCATTCAAACTTCCCTGTAATGCATTATATCCAGGCAAGGTCCCTTCCAGGCCTGTGCAGTTTTCATACTTATTGGCAAGTCTGACATGAGGTACTTGTGCCTGACAATGCGCAACTTTAATTTTACAGCATCAACTAATTTCTGTTATCGTCTCTTTTGTGTCCCTCAATTTTCCCATAAAGGACCGAGCAACTAATATAGTCAAGCATCACCAACCCATATAAATTATGATACACTAAATACTGCCGATGATAAGACTACAAAAAGTCTAATAAAATACTGAAATGTGCATAGTAAGAATGCAAATTTTAGTCTTGACAGCTTTCCATAATATAAGCTGTGCTGCTCAAGATGAAAAGTTACTTCCTGATATGAGGCAGAGGAAGCATATGACTAAGTATCCTCCTTTGGATGGGTATACTGCCAACTCATGTGGCGATTTCTTGCTAGACAAGTTCCCAATAGCCATGTCGGTGAGCCACCAAGTCTGAAGAGCTGTTGCTGAGCACCCAGTGAGTTCATGAGGAAACATCCACCATTCAAAACTGGATCCTGGATGAAAGCTGAAACAGCTTAAGCCTAGACAGTTGTCCCAAATCATCATACGTCCCATGCCCTGACCTGGATAGCCCAGGCTGGCCTGATCCCATCAGATCTTGGAAGCTAAGCAGGGTCAGCCTTTGCTAGTATTTGGAAGGGCAACCTCCAAGGAATACCAGGGTTGCAACGCAAAGGCGAGCAATAGCAAACCACCTCTGAAATGTCTCTTGCCTTAAAAACAAGTCTAGTTTGCCACCTAGTGATGCATAACACTGAAAGAGCTAGATCTTTTGGCTGCTAAGACAATCTTAGGATCTCCTGGCTATTCTACACACAATGCCATATGATGATGATGATTATTATTATTATATTGTCCATGCATGCTACAAGTTATGCTGTCAATCTTTTTGTTTTTTAGTCACCAAGGCCTGGTGGATGATGTGGTATGGGGGAAGCTGCAGGACATTAGCTTGATCTATCCTAGCAATGTCTGCCAAGTTTGTCAATGTAGCATCAGTAGTTGGGGGTGGGAAGTAGCTGTGGTATATTGGGCTAGAATTGCCCTCTACAGGTGCTTTATCATGCAAAACTCTGCTATGGAAACTATATAAATGGTGTCAGAAATACAAACAGAATTGTGATCCTGCTGGTGTAACCACCTCCCTCTCTCTGCCTAAACTACCAGAAATGGCATCAGATCACATGCTGGGAAGATCCACCGTAAGTGGTACAGCTCAAAATTGTATTGGTAATCCCAGATCACTGGATTTCCACATAAAGTGGACGTCATACTGTTTATAGTCCGTATTGCAGGTTATACAGTTCAGTAGCAGGGGAAATAATATGCCACTGTCTTGGGTTGGCCATAATCTTATGAGTTTTTTATTTTCAGACACTTACAACCTCTGTAAAATTGGGGAGCCAATTAAGACACAGAGACTGATAGATTTTAACAGAATCCATTGGGGAGTTTACTTAAAGACAAGACTAATTCTTCAGTTGGAAACACCCCCCCTCATTCTCTAGAATTCAGAGACTACCGCACAGAACATCTGGGAGCAGTCCATTCATCTCCTTAGGAGGTGAGCGCTATGTAATGCAGTTAGACAAACAAGAAACAAGTGGCAGAAAATTCATTTTGAACAGAACCAAAGAAAAGCTTTGGCAGCAGAAGGACAACTCTTCTTTGTTATCATTGCATCTGTGAAAAAATGTCCAGCTGAGCTGTTCTGAGTTGTGCATGAACAGTTTCATCAGGCCCTGATAAACACGCTTGGACAATATTAAAGATCACCGTGATGTATTTTATTTGCAAGGCAGCTGTGTATAAAATTCCATGTATCCACCAGGTGCTCGGTTACATGGTTGCTGTGATACAGCAGCAGGCTTTCTTGAATAAATCAGATTATCAAGATCCATTTCAATCCAGTTTCTGCGACTGAAATTGCCTTGGTCACTCTGACTGATGACCTTTACTGGGAGCAAGGGAAAGAGATGAGGAGTGTGTCTGTGGAATATTCTGAACTTCTTGGTGGCTTTCAATACCATCAGTCATGGATCCTTCTGAACTGGTTAGCTGCCATTAGGCATCACACACTTATGTTCCATACTACTCCCATACTGTTTGACATCTACATGAGACCACTGGGAGAGGCTATCCAGAGGT